GTCTTGAGAAATGTGAAGTTTCTCTCACCCTAGCAGTTCACCTCTCCTTCCTTGCTCCTGAACTCACTGGGTTTCAGTGTCAAACTCCTTTTTCTCTCTGTTTGAATCTGGCCCCTTTTGTTCAGAACTGGACATATCCAGGACTTTCCTGATAGGACTGGGGAGAAGAAAAGAGGGCAGATTCTGCTGTAGTTTCATCTGTGAGTTTATTTATTTATTTATTTATTTACCATTCTTAACGGGGGGAAAATAGGAACTTGTAAACAAAATTTGATCTTGTCTTTTAAATTCCACTTTTAATTGCAGTACAGAGGCTTTAAAAGTTTTAAAGCATCCAGCTTCTTGCTGTGAGTTAACTACAAAAAGAGTTTTGTTTGAAGCGTAAAAACTTGCAGCCATATTTAGTTAGTTAGGTCCTGGAAAAYACCGAAATGCTCAGAACGTGGCTGGCTTTAGTGCCTGTTATTGTCTCAGAAATAAGTCTTTAAACCAGGGAGACGTTGCTTGTCTTTGTAAATAACAGCCGTTCCCTTCTCGGCTCTCTCTGCTCTGGTGGCAGCATGAGTAACTGTCACTAGTGGGCTTCTCTTTTGTGAAATAACTTAGATTCGTTGCAAGTCCTTTTTGTACAGAAAGCAAGAATGAGCACACTCTTCAGTTTCCTTCCACTAATGACCCACTTAGACATCTCCAGAGAGCTTTTTAGTCTCACCTGGGAACCCCAAATTGCAAACTCTGATGAATATCTGTTTCTCATTTTGTAGCTTTTTGCCCCTTTTATTCTACATCTAAATGTGAGATTTAAGAGGACCAAATAATTTCCGTTATAGTTTCGTATTTAGTCTTAAATAAATATTAATGGAGAGACCTGTTMTATTGACTGTGCTCCATTATCCTTGAGTTCTGAGGATGGGTTTTCAGAGGAGTAATTGGGAAAGGTTGGTTGTTATGAATATTATTTGGCAGAAAGTCAAGCAGATTCTACAATTTCACATAAATTATGTCATCTGAAAGTCAACTAGCTTCAGAACCAACTCTACTTGCTGTACCTTAGCAACCAAGAGCAGAAATCAGTTGCCACATGGAAACGGATTGGGATTCATGACAATACTCTCTACATCCAGCCACAGTCATACAACGGGAGCATTTCATGTATTATATACAGCACATGTATCCAATTTCTGCTTAGAAAGCCTATAATTTTGGCAGTAGAAAACAACAGTGAGTGCAAAAAAATTGAAGGTGGTTGAGTGACAACCCAAATTGTTTGGTAATTATTTTTCCCTACCCCCACTCCTTGTTTGGCATAACTAAGTCATCAGAATAAATGCACATTTAGTCATGCAGCAATCACGGCCTCCTTGGGTTGCAGGTTAAGAAGGGTGTGTTGGGAAGGTACAACAGAGCCTTGTTTCAGAATTCATTTTCAGAGCAGGGCTGGAATGGAAACTCTCTAATTATTTCAGCTCCGTGCTTGCTATTTGCAAATCCAGCAAATCCTTTTGAAGAAAAGGCACACTGACATCCATTGGGCTGTTATGATAGTTCCCATCATTATGGCATTATCATTTTCATGGTTTGTAATGAGAGAAAGAAATCTATCTAGGAAAAAAAAAAATAATTACTTTTTGATTTGTGTGTGGAGTGGGAGAGATGCCTAAGGGAAATTAAGTAAATAGCCCTGCTGGATTTTTGTTTGTTTGTTTTTCACCTCAGCTGCGATATTATTAGAGTTGAATGYTGAGCAGAGAAAGAGAAGTACATTTGATTGTACTTGAAAGTGAATCTGAATTGAGCTTTATTTGTGATCCTTCAGTGTTCATCTCTCATGGCTGGGATATGGAAACTCCAGCCTTGTGAAAGTGCATTTTAGGCTGGGATGCCTAAATACTTCTTGGAGATCAGTCTGAATTCCCTTGCAGCTGTATTAGTTCAGGATGTGTTGGGGAGTTGCTGAAACCCTCCTGTCATGGAACAGAAATCATCTCATTAGCAGGTAGTCAGTGTTATACCATGTGCATTTCACAACGTGATTTTTCAGTTGAGTTTTCAGTTTTTCAGTTTGAGTGTTCAGGCTATTTGTATTAAGGGAAAGAAGCCCTGATGCAGCACAGCGCTGAAGTACTTGTTTAATTTTAAGCATACTGAGTAATCCGATTTGGAATGCATAAACGATATATTAAATCTTTAGGGAAATAGCAATAGTGCCCTGAAACTACTAATGCTTGTTTTCCTATATTTATACACAAAATGTTTCTGGAATTGCTTGTTTAGGTTGACTGTGGTTGTGTTTGAAAATTAGGCCTTGATTAAACAAACAAATAACATGAAAGTGTGTTGTAAACTGACAGCAGAGTCCGATTGCCCATTATAAACTCTTAATGTTGCCTCATGTACAATTTGGGATAAAATAGCCAGTTAAAAAACTTGTCATTTAAAAAAAAAAAAAAAGAATAAAATGGAATCTTCAACAATTTACTGGAATATGAGAGCCCTGTCTCCATCTTTTCTTGTTTCACTGAGCAAATCCTCCTACTTCGTTTTTTATAAACCTTTTACATTCTTAATTAAAAAAAACCCAAATCCTAATATACCTGTTGTTTCCAAAACTCTCTTTTCTTGCTAAATGGACAGCAGTATCCGCTCTCTTAGAAGACAGGTAAAACATTTAGATCCTGTCTTTAAATTGGTTTGAATTAGTTGCTGTCTTGCTTTGTTGTTGTGGCTGTTGTTTATTTTTTTATTTTTCCTTTTTTTTTTTTGTGAGCAAAATGATTACGTTGCTGACAGCTGTTTGGATCTTTGCTGTTGCTCCTGTGCCTACGCTGCTGGCGAGGACGGAATAGCAGCAGTTGTTGGAAAGGTTTTGGGGGGAGGCAGAGCACAGGCAACTCGGGGGCAAAGTCATCCTAAGTAGAGATGGGACCAAACTGAAATCCTGTGTAGAAAGAAGGAGAAAATTCAAATATATCTCAAAAAGGTGTAAATAAAAACAGACTCTTGGTAAGAACATTAACTAGTTTGTAGTAAATCTAGAGGGAGTAGCTGTAGTGGAGCCAGTTCAGTACTCTTCTGAGTAAAGAATATAACATCTTGCAGGAATGTAATGCTTGATATTTCAGGCAAAGACCAAAATATCCTYGTTAGTGCACTTGGATTGTTGCGTTGTTTATTATGGGAATTTCTTTCCAAGCCTTTCAAAAATCACATTGCGCTCCTACATTAAAATATTGCCATTCTTATCTTTGCATGCTTAGCTGAAAATATTGGCTCGACTCGATAAAAAAATATTTAGTTGAAGCAATACTAATTTAAACCCAAGTACAGATCTGGCTCACTAGTGTTAGTCATAAACTAGCWGTCACTTTTAAAAATCTAGCTGAAGTATTTGACTCTCTGACTAATAATTCCTTAAGCTGGTTTTAGGGACTGTGAAGAAGATTTCTGTCTAGTTGTTTTCAATTACATGCTGATCATTTTATTCTAATCCTCTTATTCTTTTATTCTRCATTTCTAGTAATTCTAAGTATCACAGTGAAGTCCTTTGCCAGGGTGGCAGTGCCTGGGGAGCTGTATTGGACACAGACTCCTTTCTTTCCCTACTCCCACCTTCCTGTCCTTCCCCTCCAGCTCTTCCCTGCATTTTCACCGGCTCAGGGGAGGAGCAAGTGGGGCAATGACTGGGTCAAGGGCTTGCAGCTCCCTGTGGCATCACTGGAATGAGCTGGCTGGTGGCAATGCTGTTACACCAGCCTGGGAATTGAGCGGGGAATTGAGCTGGCAAACTTGGGCTGAGCTGCAGTAGTAAGGGAGGCTTGTTGAATGAAAGGCTTGGATGCAAGTTGAGGACAGTGTCATGCTGAAAGGCTTTGCAGCCCGAGGTGTTAGTGACATGCCTACTAGAGGAGGTGGGAGCTGAAGCAATATCATCCTCCCGACCCGTTTTTGTTGGGTATGGGTGCTGGGAGTGAAGCTCTTGTGTTGTGGTATTCCCATCCTGGGGCACAGTTCCACGTGGGACTGCACTAACACGTGTAATGAGCACAGAAGTGTAAACAGTGATGGATACTCCCCTGCTTTGTTGTTTCCCTTCTGGTCCTAATAGTACAGGAACAAGTGTATGGAGTGGTGGAGGGGAGCAGATGGTGTTGCTGAAGTACAGATTCTGTAATTCTTACACCATGCAAAGGGTTTTTTTTTTCTTTAAATATATGTTTACAGCATACCATGTATGAGCTGGGTCCTTCTCAAAGCAAGGAATTAATTATGTTGCCTGTAAGGAGGACCTCACGGTCCTCCTGTTCTGCCACATTTTTCATTTTCAATTAGGAGGCTTGCTTGCTTGCTTGCTTGCTTGCTTGCTTGCTTGCTTCCTTCCTTCCTTCCTTCCTTCCTTCCTTCCTTCCTTCCTTCCTTTTCCCTTCCTTCCTTCCTTCCTCCCTCCCTCCTTCCTTCTTTCCTTCTTCCATCTTTTTTCACATTATCATTTGTAAGAGTGATCTTCCTTGGAAAGTGTGCTGTGATTTCTGTGATATTGAGGTGACTTTACAGAACTAATAGTTTGTCGTGTAATTACATTTCCCTCCACCTCTAAGACATGCTGCTTTTAATGCTGAGCTCATCTGGATACTGTCTTTTTCACCTCATTTTTTTAGGTTTCTCTTGAAATCCTTCACTATAGTTTCTGCACTTTACTGAACCAGACAGTTAATTCTGTGTTGCTGATTGCCACCTTAGTACTCAATATCTTTTCCAGGTTCACAAAAAAACACAGGACCAAGTAAATAATACAGGACCAGGTTTGATAAAATATCCTTTTTTCCTGATGTGAAAAAGAAAGCTGATTTGGAGACTTTGGTTATAGTAGTTGAATCATTTGAACAATATTTTTAAACAAAATTCTGATAGCTAAGAGTCTTACATTGCTGCTGCTTTTTTTTTGTTGTTGTTGTTTAAAAACATAAAGAGCAAAACTAAGAGTGTTCCAAACTGTCTTACAGACCCTGTCCAGAAGAATTTCAAATCCATATTTGGAAACATCTTCAAACAAGGTACTCATCAAACTTTAACTGCATTTTATAAAACAATATATTAGGAATCTTTTTGTTTTAGTTCAATTCTTTAATCACAGATTGAAGACATTCATGAATATGGCCTGCAGTTAAATCCAATTAATATGTTAGTTTTTGTGTGTTAAAAAACTGCTTATTTCTGTTATGGAGTTAACTAAACTGAATTGTATTAAATCCCCATGCACACTTACTTCAGAGCCATTTAAGCTATTTAAATAGTTTATCTTAGCTTTGCAGTTTTATGGAGTTTGAGAGCTCTGTTCTTGCATCACTCAAGACTTTAGTCTCTCACATATATTTTATGTTCCTTGAAAGATTCCAAATCATACCAAACCATGGGAACCAAAAAAGGTGAATGCAAAGCTTTTTCTTCTTCAAGTTATCTGTGTTAYTCATACATTTGTTGGGCCTGTCATCTGTTGGGATATCATTACAGAAATTTAAGTTRAATTTATTAGTAAGGAGTAATCTACAGAGTCTAGGAGCAATATACAGAGTCCAGGTAGAACATATGTAGATGGACGATGGGACAAGGAGTCATTTGCAGCATTAAGGTTCAAGGTATGAATGAGGCCTGAGGAAACTCACAGGTGTGTCCACTTGGAATGAGGGCATCCTCATGGCAGGGTGTAGATGAGCTGACCTGCAGCTATCAGTGAATAGTTTCACAGTTGCTAAAGAACAAGAAAAAATGATGAAGTAGYAGCTCAGTATGTTTTAGGCTTGTTTTAAATGATTTAACCAAGATACCTACAGAAGAATGTTTACTTTTTATTGCATTTCTGATTTTGCAGTGATAAGACTGCRTACGTTAGACATTGGGGTGCAGTAAGAGCTTATGCCTTAGCAGAGGAGGAAGCAGAGTGCTCAGAGTGGGAGASGGTATTGGGGCAAGGTAATTTACTGCTTTGGGACTAAATATTCCCTGTTTGTGCCAATTTACAATTTCTGTTTTTGTTTAGATATATGGAGAAAGTTCTTCCTGTGCTGGGAGAGCTCTCAGGAATATTTTTACACTACAAGCTTCTGACCTGATTAAAGACAGGGTGTACCTTACTGGAATTTGCAGGTAACCCCCAAATGATTCTCTTTAATCAAGTGGATGCATTTTTATTTACATTTATTTCTGCTCTAATTTGACAGCACAGTAAATGCAGAGGGCGGGGGGATTTATCTCTTTCCTAAGCATCTAAAATATTTTCTATTTTTTTTTCTTAAGATCTCATGTATTTAGTATTATTTCCTGTGTTATTCTATCAGCTGCCAGAAAGCAGCAGTGGCCTGATTGTATGTCCATTGATTTATTTGCTTATGATTTCTTATATAGTTATATTTGCCTATTCTTTTGTTAAAATGAGTTTTGTTAAAACACAGTGCTTTTGCACATAACTTGGAGAATGTTTCTGTCATGAAATTTATCCATTTGTGTTACATAACAGCGTATATACTTTGCCAAATTTTCATTTATGRCAAGTGCACAAGGGTCTATTATGGCACTGTTCATTCATATCCATATATAAGAACAAGCCCAAATTCTGATTTTGATGAATTAAAGAGAAATTTTTCAATAATGTGCCAGGTGAAGTACATCCTACTCAAGGCTTTACATTTGTATTGTGTGGCTGTACTGCCTGTAGAAAGGAAATAAAATTGAAGCARTTGGAGTTTATTTAGTCATAAACATCTTTGGATGACTTCATGGAGCGCTTATTGATAAAAAAAAAAAAAATCTATACTGTGCATATATACTATATATACTGTGTATATAGTATATAGAATATATATACTATATAGAGTATACTCTAWATATTGTGTCTATATCTATGCCATGCAAAATAGGTGTGTAAAGGAACTTACTGATTTAACAATGGATTCCCTTATAACTAAGAGTATCCCACTGAGATTTCACAGAACACTTACTTCCTTGAAATGATCAAGAYTAGAAAAAATAGGGTTTGCTTTACTGAACGCAGGATTCTCCTGGATGATTTAAAATAACTAATATTATCATTAAAATGCATGGTAATGTTCCTGGTTTTGCATGTTTGCAGGAGAAGCTGTGTTGGCTCCGAGCTGGTGGACTGGCTTCTGGAGCACTGCCCTTTCGTTAAGTGCCGATCCACAGCAGTGGGCGTGTGGCAGCTGCTGCTGGATATGGGAATTGTCTTGTCAGGTCAGTGCTGGCGGTGCTTCTAGCGTAAGGGAAGTTAGCTTCTTCCCAAATAGTTGAGAGTTATGTTTTTTGATGGCAGATAAAGAATGGGAAGAAAAAAAAAGCGCTGATTCTTTCATTTTTTGTTAGGCAATAGTTTATTTTATTGTCTGTTCTGCCAGGTTTACCTCCGTGACCTTTCATTTCATAAATACCAAGTGTTTTTTTTTTTTTCCCAGTTGATTTCCTTCTTTGCCTCTGCAAATGTAATTGCCTATTGCCAAGTTGCAGACAGTGTGTATTTGTTCCAACCTATTTCTTTCCCCTTTAGCTCTTTCAGTTTTTCCACAAAACAGCAGATTTCATTGCAGCTCCAGGATTCACCAGATTACTTCTCTAAGAATTAGTGATCTTTCCTAATTTTCATAATTTTAGAATACAATGGACTGAGAAGGGAATTCAGCTCATTTAGAATGTTGTGATGATGGACTCTCTCCATCTATCCACTCCTTCCTCCTTAAATTTTGGGACTTGATCCAGACGATGTGGTTGATGGTCATTACACTGCTAAGCCACCTCTGGAGTTCTGTTGTAGCTGGGACTGTTTGGGTAGTTTAACTCAGTGCGTATCCAGCCCTAAGCTCTGTGCTAGGCACTTACTTTTCCTCCTTGCAAAAAGGTAAGATGTTGTGGAAGACTTCCACATACCAAGGAGACACTGAGCAACTTAAAAGCATTGCTCATTATCAACCTTTTGCATCTTAGCCTGAAATGAATTAGATACTAATGAAAACTGAGGCTCAGAAATCTGACAAGTGAGAAGTCTTTTATTTTACAGGCATATCCCCTAATTCTAAACATTTATGTTGGTCAAATACTCAGCAGTTTCAATGCTTGAGTCTCAGGAAGCTGGAAATCTTCAAACTGAAGTTTTTGACTTGAGCTGTTTATAGTTAGCATTAGAGGACAGGGTTGCTGCTGGCCGATTTGTGCTCCTTTTGCACTGTGTGGGGTTGCAATGCATGGTTAAGATCAGGTRCAATACAGAATGCAGTGGGACAAAGAACTTTTATATGCTAAAGGGCTAACATATATCTTATATTTATTTCAAACAGTGGACAGACAACTGTATTTTCAAGACAACCATGCATTCTACCAGTTCTCAGCAGATGAATGTACCTATCTATTCTGCGAATTTGAAAGAGATGAAGGATGGAAGAATGGTGTAAAGCTCCTACTTCAACTACTGCCATTATCTCCTCACAGAATTGGCATGTGCAATCTGTAAGTGTGTGTATATATATATATATATATATGTATCTTCCATTTCTCTTGACCATAATTAAGTCATTGGCTGATAATGACCTTGTTCTATCCCAAGCCACTGTATGAAGGAGACAGTTTTCTTTCTAGGGTTGGCAAGCTATGCAGAGATGGACTCTTCTRTGATCTGCATTGCAGTTAGCACTTGGAAACATCAGCATTGCTAGATGAAATGTGGCACTTCATCTGAGGTTCTTGGGGTATTGTGGTTCTTACACAAGCTCTGACCCTAGGTTGCTGTATTACCCAGACAAGATGCTTCACATTTTTTTGTCTCTTGCATTTAGAGGTTTGACATGAATTTGGCTCTAGGCATGCTGTGGAGCTGATGGATTAGCGGATCAGATGGCTGTGTCTTGGGTCAGGATCAGCTGTCGGGTGGTTATAGACGGTGACTAGGAATTTTGCAGCTTTTGTCATCTGACTTTTGTTTGTCACATTTGTCAGAGCTCTGTAGTTTCAAATTATTATTTCTTTTGCAGACTGTGCTATTTAAGAGTTTCCCTTTCTGTGTGTCTCCCCTGCCATCAGACTGTTGGATGTTAACATCCGCTCTGCACTGATCCAGCTGTGCTCCAGACTTGGTCTGTTTAGCAGCTGGAAAGAAACCATAGTTATTTGTGCCACAGTGGGAAGCCAAAATAGAGGAAAAACGTGTCAGTGAGAAGTCTGAAGGCTAGTGACCCCTTGTGCCCTGGAAAATCTTCATGAGCTGGCAATGTAGAAAAGATAGTGTGAAGTCTGCTGTTCCTAGCATGATAAAGCCTCAAATCTCTTTTCTTGTATCGTAGAAATTATTCTTGCAGTAAGAGGGTTTATCCTCTTTCATATCAAAGACAAACCTATAAGTGCTTGCCTTCTCTACTTAGATTTTGAAAACACATTCTCTCAAGTAAATGCCTAATGGGCATATTTTAAATGAGTGCAGAGCCAAAGTCCCTGTAAGCTATTTTCAGTTTCTTAAATTCAGACATTCCATCTGATATTTAGAGACACTGAATTCATTGAGAATTTCTCAGTAATTTCCCTGCATAAGTCAGGGCAGAAACTTAATCATTTCTTGTGACCATCAGGACCATCAGCGAGCAGAAACTGGCAGTTCTCAGTGGTCATTCTCTTGGTCAACTTGACATTTCAGGTTTGAGTTAAAAAAGGTGTCCTGAACACTGACCTTGGTCAGAGAGTAGCACTATTTTGTAGTCTGATTTGCTGCTTTATTATTTCAGTGCAACTGTCATTTCTAGTGCAGGATGTTCTCCATTGTATAAATTGAACAATTATTCATTAATGTACATTTCTAGCTCCTTCCTGCCTGCATTATTCAAATTTTGGTTGAAGTTGGGTTTCTTTTGGGAACATTGTCACTGACGAATTATTTTCTGGAGGCATTATGTGTCAGATTGCGAGGGTGCTTTTTTCTTTTAGTATATGTTGAAGGAATATAATTTTAAATAATGTGCAGCCTCTAGGGAGTGTGATCTTAAATGAAGAATAGGCTTTTCCAGTTTCAAAATGCTCCATGCTTGATGCAAATAATAATAAACTGCTAAAATACATTCTGAATAGGAAAGAGATGTGATGAGGTGATTGCTGAAGTTATTGACCATGTTAAATAAACCTATATATTCTTTYTCATGAGGCAGAGAAAGGCAATTCCAAAAAGCTGTCTTGTGGAATGAATGTTTGCCTTTTCTTAAATAAAGATATAAGCTGTTTTTCTTTATGCTATAATACCTTTTTATTCATTTTTTTGTAGTCTGTGTATTCCTATTCACATGAATGTACATATGGATAGAAAATTCTTACTTTCTGAATTCATGAGGTTCCCTGCTTTTGATGAAATCCAAGGAAATCACCTGCCTGTGCACCGGCAGGCCAAGCTGGACATCCTGAGCGCATCCCTACCAGACTGGCTCTGCCTCCTGTGTGGATGGGGCCAGACCTTGCACATGTGCAGCCTCCTGGGCCCATCAGTGACGTCTGGGATGGATCTGCAGCCGGGAGACGTGTAGCTGCTTTGGGGAATTCCCTTCAGCAGGTCTTCTAGAAATGAGCAGATCCCCCTTCCATTAAATACATGTAGCTCGACGTATATATTTTTAACAGATTTGTACTTGTTTGATTCTTGGCAGTGCCTTCTCACCTACCCTGATCTTAGTGCTTCTGGAATCAACCCAAGCATTAAAAATTCTCTGCAGAAGCCCATATAGTAAAGATCAAATGCTGGCATTTGGAGTGTGTAAATAAGCAGTGTGTGTATAACATTTTCTCTATAAATAGCTTCTCAGAAGCTATTGGAAAGCCCATTTCCAGCAATATCAGGAACCCCATATTTTGTTTCACTGAATATATTTATATAAAAGCTGGTGTGAAGGGAATCCAAATAATATTTATATTTAACTTTAATAAACTTTTATATTTAAAATTATGTTCTAAGGCCAGAGATTTGCTTGCAGTTCCTGAGGAAATGTTCCCTATTCTGGGCTTCAACCTTGCATTGAACACAGCTATTMCTTTTTTGGATGGCAATCCATTATGGAAAATCAGGCAAGACTCTGGGGCTTTCCCAGCTCATGCCAAACTGGAGGTTAGCTTTGGTGCACTATTCCRCAGGCAGAGCCCCTGAAAAGGTGCTGGTTAAGGGAGGTGGTATTGATACAGCAGCCTCCTGGAGCATTAAACACTGCCCGTTAATCACAGACAAATTCTACTTGGATAGAAAAGAAGGGAATATTGCATTAGCCTGGGAACAAAAGATCTGTGCTCAGAGCTCTGGACTTCCTTACAAGCTTGGGCAGTCGCTTAGGCCCTCATCCAAAGCCTTTTGAATTCTTTTTCCAGAGATGGCAGTGGCTTCATATCAGACTTTTAATCTTTATGTGCTTCTATTTCCAGCTCTGCRTATAGGGGTGTTTATAATAACACCTAACTCCCAGCGTGAGCTACATGCAGTGGATGCGGGTAAAATGCCGTGAGTGCCTTAGCCTGCTGGACTGTATCCCACAATATTTGTGTAGTCATCGGACGGGATGTTAACAGGGAACAAGGATTCTTTTTCTTTTGCTAATATTTCTTGTTATTTTCTTTTCAGAAGCATTACGCTGTATTCTGCATCGTCTTCTCTGAAATAATAGTTTACTTGAAAACTGAAAACCAACCCCCTCTTAAAAGTGAACTGTTTTTAATGTGGACATCCAGGAGTGGATGTTTATATAGTTAGTGCCCTTTGGACTTCCAGGAAAGTTTCTACTGAAAGCAGACACCTCCCAGATACCCTTGGGTCTTTTGCTCAGGTTGTGGTGCTGCTGTGGCACCTGGGATCCCGTCTGGAGACCACGCAGCTGATGGCTCCTCAGGCAGCTGCTGGGGAGGCAGCTCAGGTGCTTCAGAAGTCAGTGCTGGACAGCATGTACCCGGCTGCAGGCAGGACTAGGTCAGGCCCCCGCACCTAGTTGAGTACCAGCCTTGCCAGGTCTTGGCTGGCTCCTTTGGGAAGATGTCAGGTGGTACCTGTCCTGGTTCTGCTCCTCGCTATCTGTTCTGTCTTATCTTTTCTCTTAGTTTTCTATTAACTTTCGTATCACAACGTCCTCTTGGTCTCTGATGTTGGCTTGATGCCTGAAATCACTTGTTCACTGATTTTTTTCTTAAGTATTTGATGCTTATATGCATAGGAATATCGGGAGTATGAAGTGATAAAAATCTGGGATGGAAATAGCTGTGCTCTGTGCTGTTCTGGTATTTTAGATAGTATYTGTAGCTGTGTCTGCTGAACTGCAGTCTTTTGGGCTCCAGTAAAAATAAAAATACACATTATTCTGGTATATCATGAGAGATCAGAACAGATCAGATGTGTGAAAACAGGCATCTAAAGAGGTCAGTCATTTTAATCTTCTTTCAAACTATAAGGGACAAACTGGATTGATTGCTCTTTGCAAATGAAGCATTGTTCATTTGGTTCTTTTGAGTGTTTATAGCACATAAAATGTTAAATYGCATTTTTCTTTGAATAGGAAAGTCAGCCATGAAAATAATTATGATTTCAAATCCAAATTGCCATTTTGGTCTGAATATACTTACACTACAATGAAGTCATGTGTCATTTTATGCTTTCTGACCTTAATTTTTTAATTAGAGGAAGAAATTTTTGGACATGGCATATAAGAACCACAATATACCAGCTGCATATTCCAGGCATGTTGTGTGCTGTCTCCCTAAACACATCAAAGCATATAAGCAATTAAATAATTTAGTCAAAGATAGAAGCTTCTGCTAATACCTGGGATTTATGTTTATCACAACAGCTGCAGTTTTGCATATCTGCTCAGCTTGCTGGCACGCCACACTTCTTGAAAAGAAAGAAAAGGGAAGATCTCAAGAGCTTTTTCTTCCTCCTATTTGAATAATCCTATCACACTTGTATCTTTCTTCCTATTATCAGTAAATCTTCCAAAGGATTCAGTATTTTAGTGATAGGAATTAGACTGTAGGAGTTCTACTCCTTGCTCTCTGCAGCAATTTCTGTTGCTATTTTTTTGTGGTTTTTTTTTTTTTTTTTTTTTTTTTTCCCTCCATGTGGATCAGGGTTCTGTGACTGTTACTAGAAAGGGTCTTCCTACACTTCCCTATTTGTGGAAAGGCACATAGAATCGCTGTCCTGTGAGCTAGTGTAAATTTAACCTGTAGGTTTTACTTTGTACTTAGTTTGCTAGTTTATGGCTTGTTACATGTATTCATTCTATTTTCATATTTGCTTTTAAATGTCAAGATTCACATGTCCCATAATGATTTAGATGATGTTTGCCTCCGTATAGATGGGCAGGCAGTCTATAGAGGGTGTTGCACCACACTTCATCAAAACTGAGTAGGTGGCAGATGGAAAACTCTGTGCTCTGTTGACAGAATGTATTTTTAGCTGAGCAAAATGTGCATTTTAATATACAAACTTGGAGTTAAGAAGGTCTTGCTTTCTTCAGTTCTTCATATTTTAGAGCGGAAGAATTGTCATCGCTGTTTTACATCACACCAATCGAAAGAGGTCTTGACAGCAAGGGACAAGGGGTACACTCGATTGTTACTGACACAATTAATTACTGTCATATTGCAGTTATCTTTTTGATGCAGAATCTCAAAAATCCTTTTGCTTTAGTGCCTGTGGCCATATGGTTCTTTGCTTTCTAGGAATCAAAAGATGTTGGAAGAGGATGACAGAAGTAATGTTTTTATTTTTTTTTATTTTAAGGCCTGATCAAAAAATAGAAGATAGAGCAGAAACCAATGCTGAAATTCTCGCTCGCCTCACTTCTGCGGTAAGGTCAATGCATCAAAGTTGGTACTGATCCTATTTGAAACATTACTGTGTTCTATATCCTATCAAATAAGGTCTGAGTCTCAGTGGAGCAGGTGTTTGTAATGCAAACTACATTTTTTTTTTTTTGCCTCTGAAAGGAGGAAGCTTTAGTGGTGGCTTAGTGTGTGGTTCTAGAATTATTTAAATAAATAATTTGTGACTCATTATCCATGGCCCAGGGAATACCAGTTTGGGTGATCACAGTGACTCTTTTTGCTAGCTCACGCACATTCAGTTAAGCAAACATCAGTGTCAGCATAAGATTGAGTAGGGGGAAAAGGGAGAGGTAGAGCCTCAGCAGCCTTGGCTTAAGATATTGTTAGCTTCTAAGGAATTGCACCTGGTAAACCTGGGTATCTGGCTTCCCTCCTGTGTTTAGCTTCAGTAAACTACATCAAAATCAGTGACAGCTTATCCTGTCATATCCTGTGCTGGGTGTTGGTGCATTTATATATCTTGTTGTAACATCTCTGTTCTAAGAATTAGATGGGACTAGGGAAGGTTAAGCAGAACTGACTTGGTCTAACATTATCTAATGACCTGGGGGATGGGATGAAGTGCCTACTCTGCAAGTCTGCAGGCGATACAAATCTGGGAAAAGTGGCTGGTACACCAGAGTTGTGCTGCCATTCAGAGGGACCTCAACAAGCTGGCAAGATGGTCAAAGARGAATCTTGTGGAGTTTGATGAAGGACAATTCTTCCTGTCCCTGAGGAAGAATAACCCCACATATCAACACACACTGGGGCCAGCCAGCTGGTGAGCTGCTTGGGTCTCTTGGTGGGTAACATGAGCCAGCAATGTGCCCTTAACATTTCCCAGAGGGTTTGTGGAGTCACCAGCCCTGGAAACATTCAAAACCTATCTGAACACAGATCCCTGTTCTATGTGACTCTACTTTAGACAGTGGGATTGGCTTGGGTGACCTCCACAGGTCTCTGCCAACCCCAGCTATCTTGTGCATCTGTGAACATCTYCCTCATGGAGCTGGGTGATGCACTGTCCTCATTAGCAGATGGAATCAGTGCTAGCTCTGTTCTAGGTATGTGATGTAAAGGTGAATCAAGCAGGGTGAAGAAATGGTCATGACAAAGGCACGAAGGCRGGAGTTATTTAAGTAAAATGAATAAAATAGCCTTTAGAGCTTGCTGAAAATTGGGAGGAAAAGAGAATTTATGCTAAATTCTGTAAACCACTTTTATTTTTTTGACTTTGGAAAGATAGTGTTTGTGTATGCCCAGAAACTTATGCAAAATAATTTAAAATGTATGAGGTTATAAAACTTACTGTTTTAAATTTATTTTTTATTTTCTGCTTTCCCTCACATTCATTCCTTCTTTTTTCTCTACATTTTTTTCTGACATGGGGGGGGAAAAAAAAAAAGGGAGAACTCGAAACSTAGACTTGCTTCGTTATAAAGCGTACGGAGAAGAAAAAAACTAAAAAAGCATAAAATACTTTTTGCAAAATAGTTTATTTTCAAAAAAAAAACAACACCTCTACCAGCTTTATAATGCTCAAGTATTACAGTTTCCTATAAAGTTTCCTCCCTCAAAACTAGAAGTTTAGAAAGAGGTAGGAYAACAACCTGACATGCTGAATTTAAGAACTCAACCTAACTGTTGCAAAGTACCCTTGAGTAAAATGCTTCTCCCTAAGCACATGAGTAATTGTCACTGAGATCATAGTGCTTCACATCTGTCTTTCGGGGTCAAGCATTTGAAACATGTCGTTAGTGATTTCAGTAGCAGGGGGTATGGATTTTTTTGAGCCATTTTTACAGCTAGAAAGAAAAAAAAATAGTCCACTGCATTTCCAGATGGCCTGAGACCCATCCAAGACCCAGCCAAGTCAAGACGAGTGATCTTTGCTCCTGTTTTCTGTTTGTCTACGAAATTGTAATTGGTCTTTGTTCCCGCAGAGACACGTTCAAGCTCTCTATAAGCATTTTCTAGTCTAACCCTACAGGAAAGCAACCATCCAAACAAAAAACCCCACTAGTCCAGAGTCCTTCAAATATTAACACCTGTAAGTGAACTTCTCCTTCTAAGAAAAGCTGAAGTATTATCAGAAAACATGCTTTCCTGCTATCTAGCACAATTAAGTTTCTGTTRCTTTGCTAACAGCCTATGCCTACTTTCTGGAATAAATAATGCTCAATAATTTTGAGGCAGAATTAGAACATATATATTTAAGCTATTAAAATCTCCTTTTTTAATCAACCTATCCATTATATTCTGAAATGTTACTGAGACTCCATTGGTGAGGCATTCCCTTGCTATRAAGAGAATATAGTGATTAGCACCAGCATATGCATTTGTGAAAGTTTGACTGCAAGTTTGATGCAAATTCCTCCCTCTACGTTGTTTTTTGTTGTTGTTTTTTTCTTTCTTTGCTGATTTTCTGTGCAGGCCTTTMTGTTATTACTTATCCTCCGTGTTTGCTCATTCCCAGGTGGTGTTTCTTTTTTACAGCTTCCCTTTTCACATTCCTTACACCATTTGTGATTTTCTTAATGATTCAGCCAGTTTAGACCAAATCAGTTTGAGAAGTGTGCAGTGATGGAAATAATAGTGTGATGGCTAATGTGAATGATGTCAAGTTAGTAGGGCAGTAGGTAACAACCTCAGATTTTTTTTCCTCATCTTATTTTGTAAATAATGTACAGAATATGTAACTTTTAACAGGCTCTGTTCTTAAAAAAGATGAGAAATTAGCTTGCTGGAGGTCTCACTTTTTATCTATGCTCAGTTCTATGGTGGAAGAAGCAGAATCCATCAAAGTAACTGAATGTAGCTTATCAAATCTTTTGCTCATATTCTCCAATACAGTGAGGCACTGACAACACTGCCAAGCTTAATTTGTTAAAGGAAGTGACAGGCAAGCAGTGTTAAGTGCCATTTGAAATGCATTTTGCATTGGATAATCTTTTTAGTCATGAATTTTTAAGACAATGTAATGATTACTTCTAGGTTTAAGGGAGCATTCTGAGGCTGCTGARCATCTCAAAAATAGTCCATATCTTGTTGTACTGTCTGCTAAAACCAGAGCATTGTGGAATGACTGTAAGTTTCCACTACAGAGCTCTTTTCTTGCCTTGTGAGGGAACAGAAGAAAATATCATGATGTTTATGCAGTATATCTGGGAAACAGTTTCCAAATCCTTTGGGAAGTCACCCAGTACTACCATTGTTCGCCATCACACATAAAGCTGTCATTGAGATAGAAAAATGTGAAATAAACTTTTTTTTTTCTCAGAACTCTGCTGTTCAGAGCTTCCTGTAACAGGATTTTTGCTTTGAGATTCTGTAGGGACTATCACTTTGCCCATAGATCTCAAGTCAAGCTTGGCACATAAAAATCTAGAATATTCCTTCATAAAGGATTACTACAGGCAAAAAATAAAAGAGAGTGGAAAAAATTGAARGTTGGTATGTATTGTCTATTAGATGCAAATCTGTGCCTTCATRATGAAATGACTGGATTCATGGACTACAAGAGATGAGTAGATGTTACTACTTTAGCGAGGTTATTTATACCCTCTCCTGTAATATTCTTATATTGAATGAGCCAGCAATGTGCCCTTGTGGCCAAGAAGGCCCCATGTCTCCTGGCCAGCATTAGGAGGAGTGTTGCCAGCAGTTTGAGGGTGGTGCTCAGCCCTGGTGAGGGCACGTCTGGAATATTTTGTGCAATTCTGGGCTCCTCACTACAAGAGGGACATGGAGCTACTGGAGAGAGTCCAGCGATGATTAGGGAACTGGAGCTTCTCTCCTATGAGAGGCTGAGAGAGCTAAGCCTAATCAGCCTAAAGAAGGAAAAACCGAGAGGTGATGTTATCAATGTGTATAAATATCTTAAGGAGGATGGGATAAAAGTCTTTTTAGCGATTGCCAGCAATAGGACAAAAGACAATATCCACAAACCAAAGCACAGGAAGTTCTGCCTGAATTTGAGGAAAAACTTGACTTACTAGTATCTTAGAGGAGACCACTGTGCTTCTTGATTCTCATGTTTCCAGTTGAGAGCAAGTTGAGGAATGCAGTCCATATTTTGGAAGGTAGAGTAACCRAGAAGGGCTGGAGGAATGGTCCAATGGGAACCTCATGAAATTTAGCAATGGTAAGTGCTGACTGGGATGTACTGGGATGGTCCAGGCTGGAGGTTGCCTGACTGGGGATCAGCTCTGCAGAAAAAGATCTGGAGGGGGTGATCTTGATAGACACAAGCTGAGCATGAGCCAGAAGTGTGCCCTTGCAACAAAGAAAGCCAATAGCATTGTATTAATCAGACGGTATTAATATGGCTATATTAGCAGGTTTGTAGCTAGTTAAACAGCTAGTAAAATGATGGAAAGGATTTTTCCCCCTTACATGAAACTTGTTAGACATCATCTAGAATCTGCCATCCAATCTTGAACTTCTGGTATAAGAAAGAAATTGATAAATTGAGGAGCTGGTGCCAGTTACACGTGATGGAGGTTGAGAGGCAACAGAGGTAAAATAAAGTGGAGGAGATTCAGATTGGAKGCGAGGAAAGACTTTCTCACTATGAGGACATGTTAGCAGTGGGACAGGCTGTCCAGAGATCTTGTGTCCAGTCTTCATTTTGGGAGGTTTTCAAAAACAGATTGGAGAAAGCCCAAAACAACCTAATCTTTCATAGCTGACCCTGCTTTGAGCAGGAGATTGGCTAGAAACATCTTGAGGTCTCTTCCCACCTGAATGATCCTATAGAAACAGAACCCTAGTTCCCCAGTTTTCACACTTCTGTGCCTTTCAATTATAGTAAGGTATTTTGTGGAAAATCTCCACCTTTGTCCTTTGAATGGGAAGAATCRCCATGTAAATATGCCATTTATTTTTAGTTAAGCATAGATATAGGTGGACAGCACTGTAAAGCGTGTTCTTACTGTTTCGTATGGCAATATGAATAAGTTGTTGTAGCATACCAACACACTCAAGTGGTCTCCTTTAGACTGTCATTTTTTTTCTGTAAATTCAATATGGTAAGCTGGCCTTTAAACTGCATGAGTTTTGGCATTTACATTGTTACCAAAAATGGGATACTACTCAGATAGTGTTTGCTTTGTAGCAGCAAATTACATGTGTTAACCCCTTTTTTTTTTATATCTATTATCTCAATTTATTATGTTAGGCATAGCTCTTCTTTGAATGTATATTTTTCTTTGCGTTCAGATTATTATCTGCAATGTGATGTGCAACTATCGATTTTGTCAAACAGGCAGTTACTGAAATCCTATTAGGAAGAAGCATGATAATGTGTAGCRTGGGTGCAGTGAGGGATGAATGCTGTACACAGATTTCCATCGGTGTAATGGTGCATAGGAATTGCCCATACAGCAGAGATGTCAAGTGCATTTACGCTAAAATAGGCAAAAGCATATAGATTATGGAATCCAGAGGCACCAGGCAAATCCAGGAGGATGTTCAGAGTAATAGTTCTTTGTGATTTGATTGAATYCTATGAGAGGAACCCAAAGAAGATGAGACCCTTTGATGGACGAAGATTTGCTTAATACTAAGACCAAAGTAGCATCTTTCTCTCCTGTTTTAATTTAGAAGTTTAACTCTGATTAAATAATATACTATCTACATTTTAGGCACACAACAGAAAATGAGGTATTTTACATAACATAAAATATAGAAAAACAAATTTATTTTTGTCTGTGACGTTAGCACTGTATTTCAGGCTTAAAGTGGTCTACTAGCAAAACTGATCCTGTAAATATAATCCTAGAATTCTACAAATGCTGATTTTTTTCTTCCAGTTTCTAAAAATATGATCTCGTACCCTTCCAGTTCCAGAGGAGAGATTTGCATTTTTTCAATTCTGTTTGATTTGGTTGATTGGTTTGTTTACAACTGTTGCAGATCACAGTGTCTTGTAAAACTAATCTTGAGAGGGCATAGACATCCTTTTGCATTRATACCTCCTCTAGTGTTTAATGCTTGCATCTTGAGAGGGGTCAATTTAGCAAAGCCTGAGCAATTTAACCACAAAAAGTATTGGTGGTGTTATCCAGAAACAACATGTTGGTGGTTTATTTTTTATTTTTATTTTTTGAAAATCCAATGTAACTCTGGGTAACTTGTATATATTACTACTAGGGTGTAGTAATCCCTGCAAGTAATCTTGTAAATTGTTTTGCCAAAAAAGGATCCTTCTTTCCCATAGTACTTGCAGTTCATGCTTACGTTAGACATAATTAACAGCTCTTGAGACATGGGAACGGGGAGTGCAGGAAGGAAGGAAGTGAAGGTAATGCTGCCATCTTGCACAATTGTGCTGGAAACAGGACARCGTTTAGGAAGTCTGTGGCACTGCCTGCATACTGTGCTGCTCAGGGCAGCAGAAAACCCTGTCCCTCCCAGTGGGGCAGCGTCAAGGAATAGAAAAGATCCTTGTGCTTTTCAAGGACAGCAAAAATGCAGGGCAAGGCCCAAGCACAGAGGGGAATGGATTTGTGGGGCCTGTGGTATGATCTGCATCTCTCACAGGTGGAACACGCTGCGTGGACAGCCCGTCCGTGGGCTCTGGAGCTGCTATGGCACAGAGATGTGCTGAGCTGTTTTGTCCTCTCCTGGCACAACTGTGCCAGTCTGTCTCTCTGCTCAGACCAATACAATACTACATATTCTTGTTTCACTTTTTAAAGGTTTTCTTCAGAGATGTGAGAATGAGGTGTGGACAGTTGTATGTGATTATGTTACATCAGGGACTCTTCTTGGGTCAGGGCCTTATTCTGACCTGCGTCACAAGTCTTGTGATTGATGCTGTTTTAAATTTCACATACTCTCAGAAAATGGATATCAAAAAGTGGTATGTCAGAAACTGGTATCAAAATTCCTGCTTCCACCACACCAAGATGATAGCAAGGAGGTATAAAGCGTGAACATATTGCATAGCATAGAATTTTATTGATAGAAATAGGAGAAGACTTATGGAGAGAAGTGGATACAGGGCTGGAGAGACTCTGCTTGATAATATAGGAAATACAGGGAAAGCACAGAGAATGCAGAAATGCAGACAGGAGGTTCAGGAAGCTGAGGAGGGCAGTTAACTAGTATGTCAGGGTTGTTTTATCATGGTCTAGCAAGATAACTGGATAGCTGCAGTTCTGTTTGTTCATCTCAAGTTAAATTTTGGTCCTGAAATGCTCAGCCACACTCTTAGGAGAAGTTGTTTCCCACTGAAGGCCCCCTGCTCTGCAAAATGTCAATTATATACATGAACCTCAGCATGGTGAATTTGCCTTAACCTGGAGTCAGACAACAAATCCAGCATTAGAGTATGTTCAGAAGAGGGAAAACAAACATTTAACGAGGAAAGGAGGGAGTGTTAAGTGTGTGCATTTGAGGGAGCACACTGAGCAAATAAACTACAGGTCAGGCTACTGAATTGCTTGTTCCCCAAAGAATGCACAGGATTTACATGAAATTAAAGTTAAAAAATAGTTGCCATAGAATTCCCGAATGAAAATAAAATAGATATAAGTGTAACAATAAATATAGTTTAAAAAGCAAGTATCTATAAAAGTCCATATGCACCTAACTGCTCCAAATGATTGATACCCTGCATCTTACCAGTGTTACATTTTTTCCTGTTTGACTGTATCTGGGTAACTATAACCATCCTCTCCTTTCCTGCTATTTTAGGTACAGAAAGAACTGGCTGCTGTCATTGCCTTGAAAGCAAGGAAATCAGGTGAGTCAAGTTGGACTTCAGAGACCTTTTGTTACAGGGTTCCCTTTTGTCATTTACTGAAGTATTTGATTTTTCACTGACATCTTACTAACATTAGGAAGCAAAGAAAGCGGACATTATTCCTCACTGAGGTCATTGTTTGATGGAGAATGTGTGTATACAGCACAATGCAATTACTGTTCGAGATTTGCTTTTCTTAGCTTTTCACATCTCATGAGCTAGCTGATAAAATCTTGGAGTGTTGCAGTTCCAAATGTGAACCTGGGTCTCTTTCTGGCCAGCATCATTATTTTGTCTCAGCTTGCACTCAGCATACACTTACATTCGAGACAAATAGGTTGATAAATTTGATATATTTTATTTTATGGCCTTGTATTTTATGCTCTCTCCAGTGTGTTTTAGCTGCCCAGTCGGGTGCATTGCTAAAAATAAAAAGTAAACATTAAAAATTTTAATTTAGTTAATATAGGCCTGAAATTTTGTGTTCTCTTTATCAACCATACTTAGTATTTAAGAACAAGTGCGCACCAGAGGTTTCAACTTCAGTTATTCTGTTGAATATGAACTACGATCACACATTTTTTTCAAGGTTTAGACCAAGATAATGGAACAATCACCTGTAGGAAATAAGATCATCAGAAATTTAATTTCCAAGTGTAGGRTATATTTTTTTGGCCTTGGTTTGCCTAACCATAAAGGTACAATGATGTGTACCTATAAGACTACAAACAGATGTGCCTCAGAATGGATCTCTGCAAATGGTTGTTGTTCCTTTCGTAGGGTTAGGTAAGTCCAAGTGATCTTTTTTCTTTSTTGTCCAATAAGTGCAATTTTCAGTTGAACACATTGTATAGTTCTATTTTCAGAAAGTTTGATTTTCATGGAGATATTCCTGGGAGAAAAGCAAGAGGCCTCACTTGCTCTTTACTCAGTAGACCAATGATCAGAATTTTGCCTTAAGGTGTTGGAGGTATTTGAATCACTTCCTGAATTTATGGTTTCCATCTTTCTAAGTCCGTAAAGGCCAGCTTTATTCTGAGGGTGTTCTTTCTTGAAGACTTGCTTAGTATATCCAGATGACTGAATAGSCAAGGTTGTTTGCAGCGCAGTAAAAGGGAAAGGTGAACAGAAATTGAAGAACTCTGGCAATTTGTGTTACAGCAAATGCTGGCAATACAGTGCTAATAAAACCSTACTTGGCTCGACTCTGTCGGGGCTGCTTGCAGATACTTGCAGAGAGTATCTGCATTGCTGCTGGTGTGGAAGCAGCAGAGCTGGGTTTTCCTGATGCTGAGCAGGAGCCGACCAAGGCTGCTGGACCAGAGCTGACTCTGCACAGGTTGACTCTCTGGTGCCTTCATCTGTATCTGTTAGTCTGCAGCCAGAGTAATGTGCCTATGGCAAAGTAAGAGTTGAATGTGTTTCTAGAGTAAAACAGAAGTGGAGTAGACATAAATTACTGGCATGTTCCCAAAGTTGTTGAGGTCTCCAGGAGTATTTTAACCGACTTCACTGAGCATCTCTTGCAACTTCAGTGGTTTTTATGGGAATTGAGATTACAGATGAGGCACTTCAATCTGCTTGCCTGATATGTTATTAGTGCTAAGTGGTCATATATCTCTGTCTATCTAGATATCTACATCTGTGCTTAAAAATAGAGTAGAAAAGTTATTACATATACATCTCCTCCCATAAGATCTTGAAATGAAGCATAAGTGCTACGTGGCTTGCATATGAGAAATATAAGTATTACAAAAATATGTGGATGCAGTTTGATACACACTTATCTGGAAATAACAGTCCTCACAAGTTATATCCACAATTGAGTGTAAGGTTGCAGAAAGTATATTCAGATCTAAGTGTGAATTCAGACCTAAACAAAGTTTTTTTCTGAAACTGCTGTAGTTATTTATATACTACCACCCCACAGCTATGTGCTCTTAAGTGTTATAACCCCAATTCCACCTGAATTTTAATAGCTGAACATGGAAGTGGTTCTGTTTTCTTTCAGAGAAAACCAAGTTATTTTAAGCAATGGTTCAGCATGACCTTTTGTTTTGTGGTAAAACGGCCTTATTTCTTAGTGTTTATACAGTTCTAGAAAATGCCTTTGCCTAATTTTTCCCTTCAGTTGTGTCAGCAAATATTATTACTACTACTACTAACATAAAAATATGATTCCCCAAAATAGGATTACTTTTAACCTGAATTTGTGTCTTGCTTTCTCTTGGTGGATGGCTATATAAATGGTGGTGTTGGGTTGTTGGTGGATCAGGAATGAACCACAGGAGATGAAAGTGGGAAAGGCGGCTAGTTTTTGGAGTCACCTTTATACTAAGATAATTTTTACTCAGATTGAGCACATAGACATATTTTAGTTAAAAATCACACCCTTAAATAAACAAAGCTCTGTATAGAACTTTGAAGTGCTGACCAGCCCTTCCTAATACATTAATGCAAAAACTTGTAGTAATAGTTTAGATTTGAACAAAAGATACCTCTTTAGTCAGTTTAACCAGTGAACACTTGTTTTGAAATTTGGATTTCTTTATRTCTCATGTTGGAGTACTGTGCGATAAATGACTACATGATCAGGCATAACTGTAAGGTCTAATTTAACTTAATGTCTTTCCTACAGTAGGAGTAGAGTGAATTAGGGWGGTTGATTATGTTTATTTATTTTATTGCTGGTGGTTGAGTTCACAGCATAACAGTTACAGTTAGCAATGAAACTATAATATGCCATGCCTGGTGAAATGAAGCATATTTCAGAGAAAAATACTTCTGGAACTGAAAGCCACAATATCTTTCTAAGACTATGTTCTTCCAGCCCTGTCCAGGGCTGTGTATAATTCCAGGAAACAAACCAACAAAAGGTCAGAGAAAGCATTTATTTTGGCACGAAAGCAGGGGAACGWGGCTTTGGGGCCAGCTGCCCTGATGTGCTTCCAAGCTGGTGAGAAGAATATCATGGGTGGCTGGCACGTACGCCCAGCACCAGTGAGAGTGGTGAGTGTGGACAGGCAGACATCCTGATCTGAGCAGGACTTGGATGTAAGGGGCAGTATCTTCATTAGCTGAAAGCTTTCCTAGAGGTTAGATGATCCCCTCCTGAAACAAAGCTGTTGTGTGGAAGYTCCTGTAACAATTAGTTAATACATTGGCTTTTTAAATTACAGTATTTCAAAATATTTCCTCTGGCTAACTGGTTAGCACTGCCAGGAAGAGTAAAAATTAGCTTTTCCAGATTTAAGGACTGTGTAATTTGTTTCTGAGTTATTTTAAATTCTGCATCTACCTCTGTCTAAAAGACACATTTCAGTGATTTAATTCTACTAGAAAAATTGGCCTTTCAAAACTTTAATATTATTTATCTAGGACAGTAATAGTTATCACTGGCTTACACTGCATAAAAATTACCATGTAAGCACACAAACACTATAGCTTCCTTTGCAAGAGGTGAGTAAGGTCAAGACAGTAAGGTCTGCTGTGCTTGAAGAGGGGAAGAATTGCCTTTAGTTACCTGAATGAATTAGTTTAGCTTTTTAAATGAAACTTGGGTACTTGGTAGTCAAAGAGGTTCAGTATATGAAAACTGTTAATTACAACTGTTTCAGTTCTTGGACCAGAATGACTGTTTCAATTCAGAGATTTATACATTAACAGTGTCTAATGACAAAATGCTTTGAAAGACACAGTTGAGACATGACCCTAGTGTGGGTAGGGCAGCGTACCAAGTTCTTGCTAGTGCAGGACCTGACTTGATGGAGAATGTCAGGAAAAAAAAAGTCTGCAGGGTGTAGAGGAGCGAGCTCTTCTTCGAGAGGTTCTCTCTCATTTTTATTGTGTCTGTGAAGATGAATGTGAGAGGAATATGAAACTGACATATGGCTGAAGGAAAAATGCAATACCTGAAAAATGAATAAATTATTTCCTAAACATAGTGGAAAAGAGCTCCTTTTTCATGTTTCAAATGAATGTTGCACATACACCACTCCTATTGGCAAGGTATAAGCAAAGGCATAACATAGATACCTGGGAGCCCTCCTGCAGAGGGGAATCAGCATTGTTAGTTTCTCTGAAAAAAAAAAAAATAATAAAAAAAATAAAACCCAGTAAAATTAATGCCTGTAATCCTGAAGCTTTAATAGAGCTCAGTAATGCTGTTGGCTGGAAAGCACAGCATTTAAAATTTATATAAAATAAAACCCACGTGATAATGTGGTCTAAGWGGAGGAAATGAGCTTGTGCATTTCTCTATAGCATATAATTAAAATTCTTCTTGCTTAATCTTAGAAATAATAAAATTGTGTCTCCCTTGATTTGGGGAAAGGTTTTGGGAAGGCAAGAAAATGGAGCAGAATACAACTTTGTTTTTAATAGTTGACTCTTGGCATTAGAATTGTTCTGTTTACTTCTGCCTAGCTGCTTTCTGATAGCTGCCGCAGGTAGGTGCGTTGCTCTGTACCCGTGACAGACATGCAGCCTCTCTCAAGCTTTACGAGGGCCGACAGGCATCATGACTGCTTGTCAGGGCTCACGTCGTGCTTGCCCGGGTTTACAGGTGGTCCTAACGCGAGGATGACACCCGTCAGGCAACCCGCGGCCGGAGGCACAGCCGGATCCGTTTGGGTCTCCTGGGCCGCCACTCCATGAATCCCACCCATGAGCGAGGAGGGCAGCGTACTGCTGTTTCCTCATRAGTGTGTATCAAACTGTGTCCACATTTCTTCGTAATACCAATATTTGTTCGTATGCACTACCTTTATAAGACAGATTTTTTTAGGTCACCTCTGCACTGTCCTGGCACCTACTTCTGCATATCTATAGTTTCTCCCTCCCTTTTCATTTAGTGTTGTTTCTGTCAGGCAGCACTTAACAGGCAATGAGTATTTTTATTTGAGRGCAAAAGATGCAGTATGAGACAGTCACTGGGGCTTGAGCTTTGCTGACATAAATGAGCAGCTATTCCTTTTGCAGGCTGCTGTGCTACCTCTTGA